AGCAGTATTAGCTTGAATTAGCTAAATCACAAACAATACATCTAAAATGGGAAAGAGCTGGACCACTGGTTCTTTGGTAAGCAGTAAGGATCACTGTTGGAAGTGGCATCAATGCATACCCTCCGTAGGCAGGACTTGACGATTTTTATTTTATTTTTTTGTAAATCCTTAGTGGGGGACAGCCCTAGTAAAAATATAATAAAATATTATGCAGTAATCAGTAGCTTATTATGTTTTGCTTGACAAATACTTTCAAAAAGTGGTGGCTACATGTTCCCAGTGTCCATGACCCCAGTGTAAATGACCCTCCTTCCTTGCCCCCTCCCTACAGGCTGAGTTACTCCATGCTTATGGCTTCGCTTCCACTCTCCTCCTGCTCACTTTCTCACTCGGCCCATCACGGTCACTTTGTCACTCTGTTTCTCTATCACACGCCTCCTCCTCTGCCTGGCAGCGGCCACCACAGCTCTTTTACTCCTTCAAGTGCCTGTGCCTGCACTATGCAGGGTACTGCAGCTGATGTTGAAGCTACTGCAGCCCCGGTAGCAAACATATCTGTTATTTTCGCCCAGTTGGCGACCTCCTCTGGAGAATGTTTTTTGAGGCCGCAGCCGAAGTTGAGCGGCTGTTAAAATCACGCATGGCCTGAGTGCCTTTTTATACAGTTTATGGTGCAGGCACATAAGGGGAAAAAAGGCGTGCTCTTCTCTTTCTTTTGGTGCGTTGCTTGCGTGCCATTCAAATAGTATTTTTTTGCTGTGATCTGGCTAAAAAAAGTATCGATTGAAGTATTGGTTTGACTGGAGACATTTCGATTCTACTCAATACTGGACTCTTCCGGTTGATACCATGAAGATTTCGAGTAGCAATACCCGCCCATTATCATTGCAATGAAGGAACCTAGTCCAACAATGTGGCTCATTGGTGTGTTTTAATAGCTTTTTGACAACAATGGAGCTCTGTGGCACAGTGATAGCCAATCCGGGTTTGGCTACACAGATAATACTTGTTAGTAGAATTAAGTCATTGTTGGTTGTTTCCAATGGCTCCCTGACCCACAATGGATTCGATTCATTCTTCTTCTCTTCACTTACAAAGCCCTCAATACCCAGCCCTTCTCCTACCCTACTTCACTGAAATTCTATGTAGCCACTGTCCTTAATTTGACCATATTCATGTTGTTGTGCAAAAAAAGTATTAAAAAAAAGTTGTTTTTCTCCTACCTCAATATCTGTCATGGTGAAACTGTCTCAATAACATTTGGGTGTCTAAAACACTCCATGGAAAACTAACACTGGCAATTTTAGATAACTGAAAAACAAGCTCTGGTTAAAAAAACAACAACATTAAAACAGTGAGGCTTTCGCAGCAGTTGGACTGGACAGCTGAAGTGAATTTCAAGCAGGTAAAAAAAAAATCTCTCCACACCACTAGACATATGGGCCAGTGCTGCCTTCAAGTGAAAATATGAAGGAAGCACTGGCCCAAGTGGAAATATTGTAATTATGAATTCATTGCACATGAACAAACCATGAACTATGATAGCTGAGTTGCAGAAATTTTGAGCGGCTGGACGGCACTGAAGTTGTGCCAACAACTGCAGTAAAACTGATGATACTGCTCATATACTATGTTGGTGGTGTGTTTGGACATATTTTGACCAAAGACGTGAATTCTTGATAGGTTGCAATTATATCTTCCAAAGACAGATAGGTTTTCAGAAGGAGAGCACTTGATGGCTAATTGTGGAGAAAAAGTCCTGAAACTTCCTGTCCGTCACACATGTTCACAGCTGGCTGCTTACTCTTGGTGGTGCGGTAATAACGAGCTGAGAGTGTCAAAAGTTCTCCCACATACTGCAGACGAACACGAATTGGTAATTACAGATTCACACTATCATGAAGGGCACTACACAGTATTTGATCCTATGCAAACAGACAGGGACACACAGTCCGATGGCCAGTGCTGCAGCTGGGTGGGTGGCGGGAGCTAAACGTGGCCAGATTAATGTGCATCACAGCAGGAGCCTGTCTGCAGTAGTGTTGAATTTGGAGTAGCGGTGTGATTGAATCAGAGGTGGCCAGAGGACTAGACTGCAAGATGGAAAACTCACCAGCAAAGGTTAATTTAATACCAGGGGCATTATTCATTCCAAGTTTGAACACTAATACTTATGCACGTTCCTGCTCTCTTTATCTACAACACTGTTTTCCCGGGAGAGAACATTTTCAGAGACCACTGAGTGGCTCAGCGGTAAGGAGCATGAGTTCTAGCCCCAGCAGGTCACCAAGCAGACCTGCTGCTGAAGTGTCCAAGAGCAAGATACTGAAGGCCTCCCTGCTCCAGGGTTTCTGCTGTGTAGCTGACCCTGACTTCTGACCTCCCTGTGGAGGGAGCTGGGCAAGAGGCAACAATATTTCCCTTTAGGAAGGAATAAATGTTCATATTAGTATTGGTGGGCTGTTTGTTACGTAAAATATGTTGGCTATTGGGCAAGAGATAACATTTTGTCTTGATTTTACTTTAAAAATGGCTTTAACTCATTCCGGGTCAGTGTGAGGGAGTAAGTTAAAATTATTCTAAGTGTGTCTTTTCCGTGTTATAACGCTATTTCATTTACAGGATGCTGTATCAGAAGTAAATGTAGAGAAAAAGCACTGAGCCCACAGTGTAGTCACTGTAGATATCTGATTTGTCCGTGTCAGACTTGCCACTGAACTTTGAACTTTGACCTATTGTACTAAATTACGGGTGACCTGACTTTTAGTTTTAGCTCAGCATAAAGTGGTAGCTAATCTGGCAAAACTGTAGACTTATTTACAATCTTTGCTGCCCCACTGGACCTATTTTTAGTGATGTTGATGTCAAATCAAACAAATAATACAACTGATGTAGAGAGCTATGAAAAGTTTGTAATAAACCATAGTTTTCCTTTAAAGTGTAATGTTCAATCATCATATACAGTAGATGATGATAGTATAAAGAGTACAGTCTAGACTTGCTCTATTTAAAAAGTGCCCTGCTTTGTCATAATTTGGCGCTATATACATGAAAGTGAACTGAACTGAATGTGCTGTACAGCCACATAACACTGTTGCTTGCTGATTTTGCAATGGTAGTGGATACGTCGGTGCATAAATTAAATATTCAATTCAGTGATTCTGCAGCACTGCAGCAAACTAGTATTAACAGGATGAGTTTTAGAGTCCGCCTAGCCCGCCTCATGAGCTCCAAAACTGCATATCTTGTCCCATCTCTACCCCCTGCACAGAGCACAAAGATTTAAACATTTTCAACATTTTCCTTAAAATCCTTCTCTCTGCTTAAAAGAGATGCTTGGAAGGTTAAAAAAAAGGAGCAGGCAGTTTGAAAAACAGCAGAACCATAGTCATTAACTATACTTATACAGAGCTTATCATGGGTTTAGTGCTCTTTTATTCTAAAAAAAAAAAAAGAAACTTAAAAAGAAAAAGTGTTGTGTAGCACCTGAAACCACATGCAACTTGGAAAACATCATCATTCGCAGCATCCAAAATGAACAAGCTGTTGCCCTAAAGACATACAGGCTGCTGAAAATGAAATAAATAATAATTTATGATCAACAAAATATATTGTAATTGCAGATGACCTGTCCCTTTATACACTTTGGAGGTAAATGGATAATTGAACCTTTGTTCCCTTAGTCACTGTTGCTAAGTCTGACAAACTGTTGGAGCTGTCGGACTTTTTTATTTATGCCACTGTCTATACTTCACTCCCTGGAGAAATGTTGTCTAATTTTTGGAAAAGCACTCTCAGAAAGCATTGCATTGTGCATTTGAAGGTTTTATTCAGGCTGTCAAACTGACTCAAACTTTAAGCAAAAGCCTACCGATCACAGTGTAAAAGTGAACCACTGTATTACCTGACTATTGAGAGAGAGGACAACAATATTAACACTGTTCCTGTACGGCTGGGTAGGTCTCTGTTCACTATTACAATCATTAAAAAGCTCAACAGTAGGGTTATATAACGTTATATTCAGTAAGTTAGCTAGCAAACTAATATTACATTAGGAACCATCCACATCCTACATTTTCCTGGATTTGTTTTAGGTTTTGGAAAGACAATAAATCATACTTCTCCTTTCAACCTCTCTGGGTAGCGACAGGAACAGCATTTGACCTTGGAAAAATACAGCAAAAACAAAAAGCTAGGAAACGACTTCTTTTGTATTAGAGTCACAGCAGCCACAAAAGTGTCGGACCTCAGTTAGAGCGAGTCCTTTACTGTGCTGTGATTGGCCAGCTGCGTATTAGGGGCGTGGCGTAGCAAAGGGTCAATTGGTAATAATTGGTATTTACCTAACCATTTTAAGCAGGTGTATCTACATTTTAAAGTAACATTCCCAAGCACTACACAACTTGCAGTTCCTCTCTCTCTCTCTCCCACACACACACACACACACACACACACACACACACACACACACACACACGACTGTAAGTGTTCTGATGGTTTCCATGGCGATCTGGCAGGTAGTGATATTTGACGCCCCGCAGACAATCAGCCTTTTCCCAATAGAGCCCAATGTAATTGGTCCCAATAGGGGAGAAAATGAATTCAATTTAACTTTATTATTAGTATTCAGAATTTTTTTAGGAAAGTTGAGAGGGAATCTGTCAGAGAACCCTCAATGAGTCATAAATCATAAGAGAGCAAATTAGATACTGACAGTGTAAGGAGTGCAGCTGGAGTGGAGTCTTTCCAGAAATTAATTAACAATAGAAACCTGTAAACTTGACAGGCTATAATTGATATTGTCTCACAGTAGTGGTGAAAAAGCAACTTCACAAAAAACATAATTTTATACAATTATGTGTTCAGTATTTACTCAACTTTTGTTCATTTTCAGTGTACTGTCGTTCCTTTATTTTGTCTCCTGTCCTCCAGAAAATGAATAGGTGTACATTTATGACTTGAAGTGGATTCATATTTAGTCTGGATGCAGGTGTATTTACCTGACTTCACTTTCTTTAATATGTCCAGCTAGTTCTTCGACAAACTTTTCTCCTTTCATCCAGTAGATAATGGGCCTTCTGTTTTCTCCACTGTAGCCAAAAAATGCCTTGCAGTCTAGACTGAGAGGCATACCTGCAATACAAAACACAACACTGTTACAATACAGACAACAACGTACTGAAAGACAACAAAAACAGTCCTACTGTGATGTAGCTGAAACAGGCACTGCAGTCCATGCTGTGTGCTTTCATATATGCGATGAAAACTGCCATACACACTGAATATTCTAAGGAAAGAAGAGATTAACAAAAAGAAAAATGGAGCATCATGATTAAATTAAGTTATTGTTGTTGTGCAGAGGCTTGCAGGTGTTGGTGGGAAGCTTGCCGCCCCCCTCAGACTAGTAGGTGTGCAGCAGGTTGCCTCCTTGGAGCCCCTTGAATTGGGGAACTAAAATAATTAAAGGCTCAACAGACAATCCTGGTGGCAGGGATGCCAGCCTAGAAAGAGTTTTTATTAAAAGCTCTCTGTGCCCGAACCTGCTGTTTATCATGTAAGAGTCATCTCATTTCATCAAAATTTCAACGTGTGGAGCACAACTGTGTCAACAAAGCAGGAATAAAAGTATTGTGCAAATGGTCATTTCATTTAAATGACAAAAAAAACACTAACATACTTTCCTTTCTGACTCATAGTGGTAACTAGCCAAGAAGATAGTTTGGCCAGGTTCCAGATCTGCGCTGCTCAGACTTTTGCTGCCAACCCAGTTAAATATTTTGCCTTTACTATGAAATAGTGACTTTCCAATGCCTTTAGCAACACAAATAAAAATCAATTCACCTTCATTGCAGTGGTGGCCACAGCAGAAATCTTAGCACAAAATACAAATAAAACCACCATAACTATAGTGTATGCATTATTAAATAGCAAACTTTGAAAAAATATATTTTAGTTGAATAGACCCTTACATAATGGAGAGTAGAATGAACTGTTTAAATAGAAAACTGCTGTTACACGAGGTTTAGCAACACTGGCCACACCTCAATTAGTGATCTCAGCGTTGTTGGGATTTTCTTTTTTTATATTTTTTTGTCAAAACAAAACTGATTGTTGTGACATTTTAATTGAGACCAATTGCAGTAACAGTGTGAGTCAGTGTTGAATTACCTGTCAAAAATATCACATCAGAAGACCAAATTTAACCCCATTAAGAGACTAGACATTGGACAATTGTGCCAATGCTGAACTTCTCGCTTTCTACAATATCTGCACATGTGTGGCATGTTTAAGATTTGGGAGATATCACTCTTAAGAAGAAGGCATACATTAATTCCAGGTATTTGACAGGTCACACAAGTCTGGTCTCATGCCTGAAAGTCCGATATATCCCTATCCACCGTGATGACCTTCATCTTACTGTCTGCCTCGCTTCATTAAGGGCATGCTGCTTCCTGCATTAGCAGGAGAGCTAAGGTGTGGGATCTTTTAATATCGTTCTGAGGGAAACTCGGGTGAAATAGCTGTATAGACTAAATATGGGCTACTTTATAGGCCCTTTATGTACTTTGTGTTGGAATGCCTAAATTCAACAGGTTCTGTGGTTTAACACACTTAAAGCCCACATGTGTGCAGACTGTATCCACACATGCTCACACACACCCTCGTGTAAGACCTTGAAACCACCACTCTGTGATTACAGCTATCAATGACGATGATGGAGTATTAATGAGCATTCTAATGAGTGCTACCTCGTTAGGCAGTCAATTAGCAGATAATTATGATAGACCTCAGTATTATCATAATGATAGCTCTATCAGCACAGTCTAGAACCAACAGTGAATGCTAACGTTGTGTGGATATCTGTGTGTTTGTTGTCAAGACAAGCACATTTTAGATATTTACTGTAGACGATCCTTTTATGCAGAGTGGGGAAAAAATGCAGGTGGTGCTATGCAACTTTTGTCCCTGTCCTTGTGCAAGTTAATCCATGAAAATGCTATTTTCGAAAGAGCTTCCACAGCAAAGGTAAAAACTTTCACGAGCTGGTTATAGATTGAATAAAAACAAGGGTTGTATGAATCAGTCAGGGCAAAATGCAGCTATTTTCATTTGGAAATGTCAGATGATTGCCTTCTGTTGGGTTTCATTGCATCACATAACCTGATTGATGAAAAAAAAGGGGAGAGGACAGAAGGTTTTGCCCTTGACTTTAACTTTCCTTGGACAGAAGGTTTAGGCATTCGTCTGTCTCTCAACATGATCATTTCTAACATGCCAAGAGATGAAATGGTTGCAAAGCTTCATACATCTTTCATGTGTGTTGGTGGGCTCTCATGTGCTTGCTTGCCTTTGTGCGGAGGCAGGCAGCATCCTGTACTACACACACACACACACACACACACACACACACACACACACACACACACACACACACACACACACACACACACACACATTGCAGAAAGAGGTGAAAAAAAAAATCTGGATTAGAGTGAAATTAGTTTAGCTTGATTGTGTGTGTGTACGTGTACTCCGCAGTAATTGATTAGCACCCTGAGGGTGTATTTGTGTTCTCAGCATGTTATGGTGATTAAAATCATCAACTTTGTTTGCAGTTGTATGGCATGGGGGTGTGTGTACTCTGTGCTCAATGTGAGTGACTGTGTGTGTGTATCAGTTTTCCTCAATCAGAGCTACCAGTCCTGAAATCCAGTCTCATTCAGCTGAGATGAGTCATCATTTCTATTTGTGGCTAAAGCAGCAGGGTGTTTATAAGACCTCAAAAAAAAAGTTGGTACTGTGTTTTGTCATTAGTATCAAAGAAAGACTTTGTACAAATGATTGATGGGAGCTTTTTCGAAGTTGGTGCATCATGGTTTCACACTGCTGCTGAGTGCGATCACACCTAGACGTTGTTTCCTTTGGTGTGAAGCATACTGGAGGAACTCGCTCTGCCCAATCACAAGTGAGTTTGTAAACAAAAGTCACATGACTTGTGATCTGATTCCAGTCTTTGTAACTTAAGTTCAGCCCGACAGACTTGTCTGTGTGCTTTAATGTAGCTTCTCTGACATTCATAACACGCAGATGCACATAAAGAAGCAGCTGAATGTGAGCATCCATCCAGACTAGTTTGCCCTTGGTTCCTTTTTAATGCAGCTATCCAAGCAAGAGGAACTGCTGGTTATCAGACATCGACATCTGTTTCCTTCTCCCTGTAAAGTCTTGTGTTTTGAAGTCGTTTCCTGCTGTTGGTTCAGACCACATTCTCACTGCAAAAAAATCTCACAGCTTTTTTATTTTATTTTATTTTTTTTAAATATTTGATTTGTTCTCACCTGGCTGAGATGAACCAAACAAAATGAAACAAACCTCCAATGAACGTGATTGGTGTGTAGTGTCTCTCTACTGTGATGTTTTTATTATTTTAATTAAAACACTGTTGAATTAGGTTTATCTTCACACAACCAGATGAGCCAAAACAAAATAACAAAGAACACAGTACAAGGTACAAGTGCTTCAACTAAAAACCATCACAAAGCGATGGTCAAAGAAAGCCGTGTTAAAGCAGCAGTAATACCTTATACTTTTGATAAATCGATGACGGATTGAATTACTGGTATCCATAAATCTGAACGGTAGCGCTTAGTGCGACAATCTCACAAAGATTCATCACCCAGCTCTGCAGTTCCCCTCAGCTCTACAGAGCGTTTTAGTTTCAGATCTTTTTTTTGGTCTTCAGTCTCTCAGTTCCAGCCACTGTTTTCAGCGGAAAAGCTTTGTTAAACCCACTGTAATTAGCTGTGCTTAAGCATGATTCAACTTGTGTTATTTTCTGATACATTGTGGTAAAGCTTAAAAGGCAGCAGTAAAGAGAAAACCAAAATGCAGTTAAATTCAGTTACGTCTAAACCAATTTTAACTTATTTCTTAAATCAAAATGAATTCAGAACCAAACCTGAGAAATGAGACACGTGCTGTACTATGCTGTTTTAATAACATCCCAAGTCATTGTCTACCAAAGAACTATTAAAAACCATTCACATTCATTCTGTGATACACATTCAAATTGATGAATTTCACAGTAATCACTGAAGAACAAAATCAGACCCCATCCAACTGTGCTATTACCTGAGCATTAGCTGTTATGGTTTACATCACTTCATGCGATGGCAAGATCCCAAATTCCTGGAAACACTGGTATATGAACAGTGAGAGGAAGGGACAGAGAAACACAGAGTCTGTCTTCTGTGCGTCTTCCTCTGTTAACTATTGCAGCTACTTGCCACATCATTAGTCTGTTTCACTTGTCACTCTTTGTTTCCCTGTTCTCACGTCTTCTCATCATTAAAGAAATTCTCCTTCTCTCCATGTTTCCCTGTCTTCTCTCCTCCATCTCCTTTCCTCTTTTTCTGTCTGTGTGAGGTTTTTTTCCCGCTATTATTTCGCTCCTCTGTCTTTCCTTCCTTATTTCCCTCGCCCCTATCATTTTGTTCCTTTCAGTCTCTTTCTCACTCCCCCTCTCTCCTACCCTCTCTGTCTGCATAGAAACCTTCTACCTGGAGTGTTACCATACCGAAAACACCTCGGTCTCTGTGAGATATTTTCTGTGTGGATGTTAGTATGTGTTTGATGGGATGCCCAGTAAACCTAGAGAAATAGGACAAATCTTAACAAGGGAAATGAATCAACACTGGATTTACACACACACACACACTGAGGGAATCCTGTATCAGTTGACTTGACAAGTACGTGTGACAAGAAAGGACCTAAGTTAATAGACTTGAATTATGACTTCGACAGTGACACATTGTTAGATTTCTGTCATCTGTGATTCAGCCCCTTCATTAAACCTTGGCCTACTTACCACCAAGATTATCATCAACGTTAAATAAAGGTTTTGAATTGAATTGTCCCTTTTCCCTGGAAATCCAGTGGTGTCAGGAGAGCAGTGGAGCCAGTGTGTTCAGCCGGTATAGAGGTGGTTTTAATTAGCTCGCCGGATCAAACAATTGGAAGGTTTTTTACACCCTGACTGCAGTCAGAGTAGTTAAAACAGCCCAGACAGGCTAGAGATATTAATTTACCAGGTCATGCAGTAGTAGGTTTTTGACTCACTAAATAAACGCAAT